TCTCCATTCCTATTTATTATGTGTGCCCAACTCCTCTCTAATGCTTTCATACAAAAAGGTGATCATGTTGGAATTGGTATTTCCACAAGGGGGCCTAAAGTATCTCACCTACTTTATGCCGATGACATCATAGTATTCTCTGAAGCAAGGATGAAGGAAGTTAAGGAAGTCAAAAGCTTACTTATGGAGTTCTGTGGATGGACAGGTCAGAAGGAGAACCTGCTCAAATTTGGTATTCTATTTGGGAAAGCAGTGAGAAGAAGAAGAAGGAAACAAATCTGCAGAATAATGGATTTCAAGGAAGTCCGGGAATTCTACTATTTGGGGATCAAAGTAGCTCTAAGAAGAATGCAGAGAGCTGATTTCCAATTCATTTTAGACAAAGCAATGAGCATGGTAGGTGTATGGGGAGGCAAGCTCATATCTAGGGCAGGTAGAATAACTTTGGTGAAGTCGATTTTACTTTCATTAACTACCTTTCACTCCACTCTTTCCTTGGTCCCAAAGCAAATCTTGAATTAGGTGGAGAAGTTGTGTAGGAGCTTCATATGGAATAAGAGTGATGGAAGTGCTGGTCTTCATTATGTGAATTGGAAAATCATGTGTAAACCGAAAGGATTTGGTGGTCTTGGGATCAATTCTTGTTCAAAAAAATCTGGGCCTTTGAGGGCCAAATTAGCTTGGAGGTATGGGCAACAAAAAGACTCTCTAATGAACAAATTTCTATTTCCAAAATATGGAACGATTAAAGGCGAAGAGACAGCTAGAAAATGAGGCTCGGTCACTTGGAAGATACTCTGTAATGGAGGGGAGTATATAAGTCCAATTGTCAGATGGTCTGTTGGAGATGGAAGATCTATCCATGCTTATAAAGTCATTTGGTTGTTGGATAAAAGCATTGAGAGGTGGCCTACATTCGTCAATTCAATGGAAGATTGCAATCAAACAATTGACAAATTTCTAATCAATGGGAATTGAGATGTCACAGAATTGCAAAAACACTTTGGCATGGAGCTGGTACAGATGATTACCTCCTTTCTAATTCCGCCAGGTGGAGAAGAAGACAAGTTAGAACTCATACAAAGATTTTTTGGGAAGACAATAGCAGCAATAGCGTCCGAAGCAATGGCAGATGAATGCACAACTGACGTTGTTTGGAAATGGATTGGAAAGGCAAAGTTAAATACTAGAGTTTATCTATTTTGGTGGAGATTGATTAACAAAGCTATTCCAACCAACCAATTTCTTTGTTATAGAAGGCAATAGGGGCATGAAGACTATCCAAGAGGCTGCGAAGTGGTGGAAAGCATTGATCATGTAGCTGCTGGTTGCGGTAAACTCATGGAGGTAATTGAGATTTTAAACAGATGGGGGTTCGAGATTCCAAGAATGAGCACTCTTCATGATTGTTGCAAATGGCTGGACAATCAAAGCAAGTGGATTGTGAGTTTGTACTGTAACACAGTGTACTTATCCTTGAAGGCAAGGAACTTGTTTGTTCATGAAAGAAAGAGTTCCAATTCTTTAATAATAGCATCCAATGTTGTAAGTTTTTCTACAATACTTAAAATTCAAGTTGTATGAGTTTAGGTATCGAGGATGTTAATCAACCGTTAAGGTTGTTGAATACTTGGCATCCTCCTCCACCAGATTGGATTAAAGTTAACATAGATGCGGCTCTTTTTAAATCTTATAAAGCTGGAATTGGAGGAGTTTTTAGAGGCTGTCAAGGGATATTCTTAATGGCATTCGGCAACTCTTATGTACACTGGGATTCGGCTGCTTTGGAGCTTCATGCTATACTCTTGATCAAGTTACTGGTGAAAGAATGGATGTTTGATTTCAAAGGCTTGATCATTGAAGGTGATAACAAGAATGTAATTAATTACATTAAGGAGATGGTGGATAAAGGTGGAGATGAGCTGAGAGATCTTTCTTTTATTAAAGATTTTCATTTTTGTTGTCTTTAGTTGTGTGGAAAGGGAGAATAACAAGTTAGCGGATCTTTGTGCTAACTATTCTTGCATTAGTTCTTTCTATTGGGATGAAGTAGACATGAATAAGATCCCTCATTCTTTCATCAATTTTTTAAGGGAGTCGGATGATTGTAGGTTGTGATCTTCCAATTTAGTTTCTTAATAAAGCTTATTTGCTTTGTTTCAAAAAAAAAAAACCATTACAAGGAATTAGTGGTTTTTTTTTTCAGGTTGTTTTTAGGAATCAGTGTTAAATTTATTTAAAAAATATAAAAGATATCACTCATAATTAACTATATTATTTTTTCTTATTCTATAGCTTGAATCTTTTTGAAGTTTAGAAATTAAAATCTTATATAAATAAGTACAAAATTAACTTTTACATATGCAAATTTCTTTGTTCTTTTTTATATGGCAAAGACTATTTGACTAAAATTAAAATTTGAAATCATATAATAAGCACGATTTTAAGATAAAACAATTGCTAAAAGTTATCCTAAGCTACAGTTATAAACAAAAATATGATAAAAACAAAAAAGAAACTAGCAAGCCTATATTAATTCATAGTTTTTTTTTAAGTGAAAGTTGGCAGTTCAATAAAGGTTGGAGTGCTCCAGTAGAAGATAAGATTAGAGAGAGTCGCCTTAGATGGTTTGGTCACATAAAAAGGCGGCCTTCCGATGACCCGGTTAGGAGAGTAGAGGTATTAGATTTGACTTGTGTTAAGAAAGGTAGGGGTAGACCTAAAAAGACTTTGTCATAAAATATTATGAATGATCTTTCTTAATTAGATTTAAACGAGAATTTGACTTTTAATAGGACACAATGGAGAAAAAGGATTCATGTAGCTGACCCCACGTAGTGGGATAAAGGCTTGATGTTGTTGTTGTTGTTAATTTACTTTGTTGATCAATCGTACCATTTCACGTACTTTTAAATGATTGATTGCACAACTTTAGTGAAACTATCCATATTATATAAGGATTTCTAAATTATGTAAAGATTTTATTGACCATTCTCAAAGAACAATTTTTTCATAGGATATATCAAATGGAACGTTATCCAAAGAGGAAAGAATCTTTGGAGACTGATATTAATAATCTCCCAGCTGATTCTGGAATTCGACCTTCAATTTGGTGTAACTATGTAAATGAAAGAGATAAAATTTGGAGAGCTTATCTATTGACAAGACCACATCAACCAAAAACTCATCAATTCTCTCAAACATTATTTGGAAATCTTGTATATAGACTAAATCGAAAATGGTTTGAGGAATATCCTGATTTGTTAGAACACAACGTGCAGAAAGAAGCTGTTTTTTGTTTTTATAGCTACTTATTCAAACCTAAATATAAAACTATTATAGGGCAAGACAAGGGATACTCATTTATTGGAGAAGGGTTTAAAAATAAGAAGAAGAAAAAAAAAACTGTTAAGTCACGCTGAAGATCATAATAGTGCTCATAATAAGGTTATACACAAATGTAAATATATGATGAAGCCTAAAGAATAAAGTCTTCATATCTATGGTTGAGCAAAGATGAGAGAAACAGAACGAAGTTTCATGGTTTGAAAGCCTTAATACATAATGATAACTCTCATGCATTCTATGTTCACTGTTTTGCTCATCAGGTTCAACTGTGCTTAGAAGTTGTAGCTAAAAATCATTTGTATGAGAAGCATCTTATTGAGATCATTTCAAGAATTGTCAATATTATTAGAGTTTTATATAAGAATGATGTTCTTAAGAAATTCAACATGATAAAATAATACTTCATTTGTCTAATGGGGAGTTGAGCAGTGGTAAAGTTTGAACCAAGAAACAAGTTTCAACAAGCTGATGACATCTGTTTGGGTTCACATTTTCATACATTAATTAGCTTAAAGAAAATATATATTTTAGTAATTAAAGTTCTTGAAATCATCAAAGAAGATGGAGTATATGATCAACAAGCTGTTGAAGTTGGTGTTCTAATAGATGCCATAAAATCTTTTGATTTTATCTTTGTTATGCACTTAATGATTGATATTTTAGTCGTGACCAATGAATTATCATAAGCCTTACAGAGAAAAAATCACGATATAGTGAATGCAATGAAGTTAGTATAAATCTCTAAACAATAATTACAGGTGATGAGGGATAATAGATGGAATTCCTTATTGAAAGAAGTATCTCATTTTAGTAATATTTTTGGAGTAGATGTTCCTTTTATGAGTTCTACATCCAAAGCTCACCGACGATCAACACGCAGAAATGATGACGTAATAAATTTACATCATTCTCGTATAAAATTCTTTAACAATATTATTAATATAAACTTCAAGAGATGAATAATAGATTCTCCGAAACTAATACTGAATTGCTTTTTTTATATCATGTTTAAATCCAAGTAACTCATTCTCTGCTTATAATAAGAAGAAATTAATTTAGCTTGCAAAACTATATTCAACCGATTTTTCTATAGTTAAACTTATGACTCTAAAGCACCAACTATCAACATACATTATTGATATGCATACAAATAAGTTCACATCTTTAGAGAGCATTGCTGATCTTATAAAATAATTTGTTAAGGCTAAAAAAGATACGGTGTACCCCATAGTTTACCGACTTCTTATTTTAGCATTAACTTTGCCCGTTGTCACTACTAGAGTAGAGAGAGCATTTTCTATAATGAAAATTATTAAACATATATTACGCAGTAAAATGGGTGATGATTAACTCAACGACTATTTAGTGTCATATATTAAAAAAGAAGTATTTAATTTAATTTTAAATGAAATTATAATGCAACATTATCAGAAAATGTAAAATAGAATACAAAATTTAAAATTTTTATTGCAATATAATAACTTTTTTGAATTTTGTTTATATAATTTTTTGAATTAAGATTAATTCCGCACCTGAAAACAGTTATAGTTATTAGAACATAAAATATCGAAAAGAAAGGAACAAGGACAAGGCATGCAGCTCATCAGCACAAGCAAATCAAGAAAACTGAAAGAAACAAAGAATTTTAAATCTATTCATAACAAGGCTAATCAATTTATATTCCATAATAAATACCGACATAAAACAGAATCAATGTATTTCTTTATAAAACCCAAATAAGTAAATAAAATATGCAAGGAAAAAGTTAGAACGCAAACATTAATAATTCATCATAGCAACATAAGCTCCATCACCAACACACAAGTAGATGCTTGCAGGGTTGTGGTGAAAGAGGCGTGCTGCCGCGTCCACCAAGTAGAAGAAAGATTCCGTGTTTCAACTTGGGCTATCTCATTCAAATGCACAAGTTTATTGATTTTCATACACAGAAACAAAGGAGCAACTGATGTAAAAGAACATTATATAGGAACAAAAAGAACTGGCTTGTGATCACTTATTATATACACAACGCATCCATGGGATGACATGCCGCAAATGAACTCTTTTTTTTTTTTTTACACAAAGAAAAAGCCTTGGTGGAGCATTGGAAGTTAGAAGAACCTTCTCCTGAAGCCTCTGGTTGTTGCCTGATACGATCGCATGAGAAGTCCAGCACCAATTCCAATCCCAATGCACATTCCAAGGCCAATTCCAACACCAACTCTAACACCGGCATTAAACCAAGAAAGCTGGCCATTCTCCTCGGAGTACAAATCTTCTGGATAGTAGCTGTGCCTAATTGCATTTGTTTCTGGATATTCATCACTATCATCCTTATCCTGTAATATAAAATATGATATTTTTAGGTCCATACCACTCCTTGCACATACATCAACCGTAAATAAACAACATGGAAGTGATTAAACTATAAGAAAAAGCTAACAAATTGATATTCTATAAATGTCATAACATGAAAAGAAGTTGATTAAAAGTCGGTTGCTCTCAAATGCTGTTAGTGCTGTCGATGGCTGAAAATGATGATTCATTAGAGGCTACAAAGGTCCCCAATCAAGAATAATCAGCGATCTCCACTCATTGTCATCAAGTTATGTAGAGAAGAACATATAAGGAGATATTAGTTTTAAATTATGACTCACGATAACATTCAGAAACCTACCATTGACAGGTAAGTCGTAATCTTCATCTTCTGAATGTTTCAAAGCCATGGCCCACACATGCAAAAGTAGCCAATGCATGGCAGAGACAAAAACTTCAAGAGCTAAAACGAGATGTTTGGTGAACAAAGAATCAAAACATCAAAGATTTGCAATCATAATTTAACGGCTTAAGCAACATGATTGAACCCCTTTGCTACAATAGCTTCAGTTGATTGTAAATACAGAAGGTACAGGCTCGTACATAATAGTCATTTGGAGCATACTTTCATGAAACAAGGTTGAGTTGGGGCGTGAAACAATACAATAAAATACATATGTATTGCTCGACAAAATTTAGTTAATAACTTTTTACAGCTTGATATGTAATACATAGTTTAGTATAGCTCTCATTTGGTTCAACAAAGTAATCAAATTTTAAATGACCGTACAAGGCCACTAAATTCTGTGCATTAATTTCCCAAGAGCAGAACTTAAACTACAATAGCACATAACTCGTGGATCACCAATCCAGCTGGCATGATCAATACGCAACAACTACAACGATGGCCGTGCATTATATTTTAGCGCTATTAAAACTTTAGAAAGAACCGGTCACTATCATCATCATCATCCTTGTAGCATTTTGGAAATGATCTGAAGTTGGTAGATTTCTTTAGGATGTGTTCTTCTTCACAACAAATATTTGCTTCCTATAGACACAGAGCTTAAAGAATAACAAGTATGGCCAAAGAAGTGTTTCCCAGGAATGACACTTCAATGCTTTGGTAAGTGGGTTAAAAGAAAAGGTTGAGGATAGGTCAATATAATCTTCAAGTAATAGAATGCTTTAATGATTTGCAACTTTCCACTCGAAAGTATTTATAGTTGCCTGGGCAAAAAGAGTAGATCGACACATTGGGTAAAATGAACAATCGATATAAGAGACACTGATATGAGTCGGATATAAACGCCCCAAACAAAGAGGCATTTTAATCCTCCAAAAAATCAAAAGGGTGAGCAAGAAGACACCTATCTTCAAGATAGAAGTTGGACAATCATATACTTAATGCAAAAACATGGATATATAGATTATTTTTTGTTGGAGAAGATCTAAATTGGGGTGTTGGATGCCTGTGCGATTGGTGTTGACTATGATCTCATTAAGAAGACCAAGTTCCTATTGAAGTCTTGAAATTAGTGATTCCTTTAGGCTTGATTATAGTGTTGCCATAGATATTGAAGTGAACTAACGGTGTAGATTCAACAGGGGGCCATTCATTGGTCCACGAAGATCATGAACACATAAATCTTGGTGTTCATTATTGGATAATCAGGACTGGCATTAAACCAATATTTTTTTTAAGAACGCATGAATTACCCCATATTGGGTAGCTTGTAAGGAGCCTAAAAATATTCATCATTACATATGATTGTATTAGTTATACCTTTTAGCAAGCCTAGCAAAAATTCAACTATTGGACAGTTCAAATCTTGTTATTTAACTTTAATCTTTTCAAATTTTAAACATTCCATTATATCAACATAAACCTAATCTTGGGGTTACAGAGATGTCATAAGTTGATTATATGCTTGAGCAATGAGTTGAAATTTTTGCTTGAAGTTCTATGTAATTTTCAAATTCTTAACTTGAATTGCTTCTTGGTAAGCTAAGCACAATAACAACAATAACATCAAGCCTTTATCCCGGAACGTGGGGTCAGTTACATAAATCATTTTTGTCCATTGTGTTTAGTTAAGAGTCAAATTCTCATTTAAATCTAATAAAAAAATGTCATTTCTAATATTTTCTAACCAAGTCTTCTTAGGTTTGCATCTATATTTCTTAACATAAGTCAAATCTAATACATCTACTCTCTTAACTAGCTCATCAAAAGGCCATCGTTTTATCTAACCAAAAGGCGGCTCTCTCTAATCTTACTTTCCACTGGAGCTACTACAACCTTTTCACGTATATGCTCATTTCGTATCATGTCTCTAAAAGTAAAGCCACTCATCCACTTAAACATCCTCATCTCTGCAACACTAAACATGATGCTTCTCTTTTAATGCCCAACATTCTGCATCATAAAACATTGCATGTCTCATCACCATCTTATTGAATTTCCCTTAAGTTTGAGGGAGACTTTCCTATCACACAACAAGCTAAGCACAATAAAATAGTAATTTTAGTTAAATCAAGATAGCCTAAGTCCTAAGATTCACATGAATCCGTCTCCAAGACCAACGATGGGCTATAAGATTGGGTTCCTCTGCATGGCCTTATGGCTTGCATGAGCTAACACAGGTGGTTCCCACATGGATGGTCTCTACATGCGACTATTTGGTTATTTCACTAAGAAGGCAAAAGCTCCACACAAGCCACAGGGAGCTACTATGTTGCCTTGTTGAGACAACACAATGTATCACCTCAATGAGGCCATATCATATATATTTCCTCAGTTGAAGTCATGCATGCCAAACTTTCCTTCATACCCACACTAACTTGATTGTAAACGTCTTCTTAGAAAAAGATTCCTCAAGATAAATTGACATTTTTCTTTGTATATAGGAAGCAAGCAATTGTTGTCAACAATGAATTCTACCAATTTTAGATCTCTTTCTGACACACACAAAGCCTTATCACATGGGGTTAACTTCATGAATTTTCATTTTCTATTTGTTTCTACTGAATGTGGTATGATGCATTCAAACATGCTCTTCGAAAATTATTTTTAACAATTCCTAATAGCATTACCTAAGGTCAATCTATTTTTTCATCAAAATCCTTGGACACTTATTTTATCCATTTGCAAAATTATGCATTTTTTTATATTTGATGTACATGTTAAACCTATTGCAATAATCTTATATTTAATAGATCAAATTGTCTCTACAATATAATCATTCCTTTTTTTTTTCTAGTTTTAACAAGCATCCATCTTAAAATTCTTATTTTCACCTTACTCAAATTAGCTACCAATTAAATTTTTTTATAGCATAATACTTAGAATCATACAACATTGTTGACCTCTAAGCATTAACCAGCACGAACAAAGATGAAAATCCCGTGTACAAACCTATAGCCCGTCGGATCCACATATCCCGCAGAGAACCTCCGCAAAACTTGCAAGAAATCCTGCATACCTCATATACGACGACTCAGTTCGGTTCTCCGGGAATCCTGCCCGAAATCGCGCTAAATTCCTGTAGCTCGGCGCCGTTGCGTCGCTTCTCCGTATTTCCTTCCCAAATATTGTTCCAGCTAGGCGTTCCTCTCATCTTTAAAAGCCGAATGAGATGCTGCTTCCGGCTCCGGCTGAACACCCAATCAAGCTCTCCTCTCCCACTCCCGACGTCTCTATCTCCCGGTCCGATCCAGAAGTCGAACCTCCCTCTTCGATCGAACTCCACACAGCCCGATTCCTCGCTCGTTCGCGAATCCCACACGAAAGCCACGATCCAAATCTTCTGATCTCCCAAGCCGTTCGAGCCCCTCCTTCCTCGATCAAGACCGAGCCGAACCCTTGCTCCTCCCGTCCCTGCCCTGTTCGCAATCCGTCAGCCGAGAGAGAGAGAGAGAGAGAGAGAGAGAGAGAGAGTGTCAGGTTTGGTCGACTACCTCCTCTGACTAAGTAGACCTGGGACCACGATGACCTGGGACCACGATGACCCGGGACGACGGAACCATGGGATCTTGATCGGGCCCATCATTCATTCCCCCACCATCCGCTTTAAGTGTAGGATGGTGCAATTTCTATTTAAATATCAAATCTTCCGAACCAAATTCCAAATCCAAAAATCCAATTTTCAATACCCAAACCTATGCTGCTACTAAATGCCAGATAACACGTATTCTATACGTATCTGATTGACGACTAGCCTTAATCGAAAGTTCTCTCTCGTTATCGGGAGGGGTAATTAACTATAGGGGCTTGCGCCTATAGGAAACCAGAACTCAGATCATAAAGTCCTCACAAAATGAGGGTGAAATCTCTGGGTAGTTTCTTATCTACAAACCCATCTGCCTTCCAAAATTTACCTCGGAACTTATCAGTTAAAACTCCCTCGCCGGATAAAAGAAAAGTGAGTGGAGGCCGGGGCCGAATTTTCGGAGCCCACAAACATAGTTGACCTAATTGAAGCTTTATAAAATTAGCTTTAACACTCCCTAACATCCTTATGCACATAATATTATTGAGGCACATCTCCATCTTGACCATCCAAACAACTTTAAAGGAATATTTTCATCTATATACCCAAACTTATTTTATAATAGATGTATGCAGTTGTCAATTACTGAGTTTCTCTAATTTTGAAAACAAAACCTCTGTCCATGTAAGAATAATATAATTATAGACATTGACAATCTCATTGTTAGCAGAATCTCCTGACATCAAAATTGAACACTTACCTTCTTTAAGCTTGAAAGTATACAGATGCAAGTATGATCAAATAATCAAACTGTAAAAATGAAGCAAGGAATAAAAAATAATAGCATAGTAAATCCCAAGCTACTAAATCAGCTTCAATTTGTTTTGAAGGAAGATGTGGGATTTACACTAACAAACATTTCTTCTTTTTTCAATTGATGGATGGATCAACAAAACAATGCCAACAACCACTCACCAACAATGGATGGATCAACACATTATCAACCAAGAAACAATTGTGAGGTTTAAGAA